GAAGTCGACAAGAGAAGGTAGGTACCTATATGGACAAAAACGATAGTGCAAATCAATCGATTATTTAAATACATAATTGGTAAGTGCCTATTAATTATCGTGCGTTTTTTTTTTATTAATAGATGGATAGCTGCTCTAGAGTATAGCATAGATCGTTGGATAAACGTTTCATGATCATGTGTTGGGTTCAATAACTTTTCGTCAGATCAATTCCAATAATGTAAGTTTTCCTTGCGGTGGATAACTTTTATATTTATTGTATTATGAAACTAGTAACGTATAAGGTGTCTTTAAATTAAATTTACTTTTGCTGTCAGTGTTAAATAATTTGACATTTAATTTATTACCGTTTATTGATTGGGGAGGGAGGACTAAGGTTTTATTGTAGGTATAACAAATAATACACCTATAGCACCTACCTAGTCAAATTATCACTTCTAATTCGAAAACCACTCTCTAATTTGTAAATCCTAGCTACGCCACTATATGCATAGGTATATAATATTTTATCAACTTTGAAGTATATCTACATTTTAATATTATATTACTTTATCGTTGAAAATATTTTTAAACAGTCTTTCTTAACTCTTAATATCACCTTTTTACTTAAAACTGCACATGGTTTGAGTTTATGTTATATAATGTTATACCTGTAAATAAAGAGAAAATTAATATTCTTAGATACCTACCTGCAAATTTCTTAATATCGTTAAATATTTATATTTTTCTCGAAAAATTGAACAGACTACGATTAAATTCGTGCATGCTCTATTATTTATCGAGTTATTTATCCTCTATAAAACACTGAGATGGGCAATTTGTTTTTGTTACAAAATTTAATAACACGTTTAATTATATTGACATAAAATTATGCAGTATTTTTTTATTTTTTTATATATACTTATATTTTTACAAATAATCTATTAAATATATTATATTTGATGATTGGTAAGTTAATTTACAAAACTTACACATAGATACTATAACGCACACCTATTTTTTTTTTCTTTTGAACGCACAAACAACAATTTCCTGATAATAACTACCTAATTTAATTATCCAGGTATTATAATTCATGGTAGTTACGCGTCTAATTTTAATTTGTAGTTCAACAAAATATTTCCATTTATACAGCGTTAATATTCATTATTTATTAAACTTAAAATGACACAAACAATAGTAGAAATGGTCATTGAACACATCTGTACCTAAATTTAATTTAGCCCATCCGCATAGACTACAATTCATGGTGACGATTAACGATTACGAATAAGAAAAAAATAAGCATTTATTAATTAAATAAGTACCTATGCAAACATCTACGAAATATAAGTTTTAATCGGCATCTGACCAATAAAGTACCTTACCTACACATTAAAGCATTTTATACCGTCATAAAAAGTTGGCAAATTATCTTTATTAAACCGCTGAAAAGTAAGTGACCATTTTATCTTTTATCTAAGTAGTAGCGTACCTACACCGTGGTCATAAATTCTAGTTCTTTGATTGTTTTAATTATTGGTTGAATTAATGTTTATTTCAATAGGTAGGTATGAAATAGTTTTAACTAGGTGCCGCCTGTCTCAATATTCCATTTATAATATTTATCTACGTTACATCAATAATAATAATGAAATACCTACCTGTAGATATCATATTGATTTTGTCTATAAAATCCTATTTGGGTCGATATTGATGGACTCTATTTTTTAAATTAGGTAGATAGTTTTTTTCTTTTTTTTTCAAGTAATACTATCAATTAGTATCCAGTAGAATACTTCTATATGTAGATAATTTATAAGCTTAAAAAGTTGCATCAAATTTTTTATTTAGGTTAAATTATAATATTGTATTTATTTAAAAAAAAATGTAGGTAGGTAGTAGGTACTCTATAGGTATTCTTATTATCTACCTTATATATTTAAGACATAATAGGTACACGAAAATATTGTAGTCGTTTAGATAGTCAACTCACCAAAATTTGAATAATTGTCTATTGTTTTTATTTTTTTCCAGGGTAGAAATATGAAGCTAGCTTGTGATATCATTCTTACATTTATATTTGGACCATTACAACAACATAAACAGCGTAAAAGATATTTACATTTAAATATTTAAATATTTAAATCTATATACTCGTTATTTTTAGTTTATGATTAATAAGCATATTATTTTATCTATAAATTCAAATTATATTTACATAGATAGACCAACTGTTACCTATTAAAATAAGTCTTAATTATCATGTACTACCTACGTCATTATATTCTTATGTATTCTATAGGTACATTATATAATATTTATATAATTTAAAGTTTGTTATAAATATATTATTTTCTTCGAAACTAAAAAGATTTAGTATTTTAGTTAATACTTGCATTAGTTAAACATTTTCACTTTGATTAATTTACTTTCTATTATTAGCAATTTCTATTTTATGTACATAGGCTAGAGAACAACAGATAGGTACCTACCTACTGTTGAATGTTGACGTTCGTTGTTCATTTGTATTTGCATAGAACATAATACCATTACCTAGGTACTTATTACGATGACGTTGATCATTTTTTTTTTTAAATTTACTCTGGATTGATTTTTAAAAATAAATAAATGAGATAAATTTGAAAAAATACATCGAAATATGTGACCGTACCAAGGGACAACAAAACAATAGCATATGTTTTATTTTTATTTTTCAATAATTAGGGTCTCGTTGGTTTGTTCCTAATTTGAAATAACTTGTCAATTTTCAAGTATGATTACTGCACTTAGCGTTTAACTGTCGTGTATTGTATTTATGTATTCCTATTACGAATTGAACACTGTCTACACTTTTTAACCTTGAACTTTACGAGTGCATAGGTTATTAAATTTTGGATAACTAGTATTCTGTATTATTCTATACCTACATTGTCCACAGGGTGATCCAAAAATCAGTCTATACGATAGACTCGTTCAAATCTTATGAATTTTTTAGTCACTGAACTTACTACTATTGTAATTAGTACTTGGTAGAGGAAATCTGACTTTTCAAAAATTCAATTGCACCCATAAAAAAATTATTTAGGTACGTACATATATGTGTATATTTGTCATCAAAATACTCACCAATTTTTCCGACTAAGTATATATTTTAACTATTCTCAACTTCCAACTTGTATGTATACGTACCTATATTTTGACTAATTTATACAAGTCATTATTTTTTAGTTATCTACCTAGTATATTTAATTTAAAAAATTGACTGAACGGTAAATCAATGTTTAGTACATAAATTTATGTTATTATCATTTATTAATTATTATTATATTATTATATTATTATATTATTATAATCATTATATAATGTTATACTTATATTTATTATTGTAATATATTATATTTATTAACTATTAGCGTAAAAATAATTTAATAGATACAAACGTTTCACAACCTATTAATTGTAATCATATTTGTCGCGAAATTTTTTAATAAAATTGCTCAATAATAATAAAAAAAAAAAATGTGTACCTACACTCATTGGGCAGTAATTTATAAAGAAATTTATCAACACTAGATTTAGTTTTTTACAAAACGTAAGTAAGTAAAATAATCTGTTAAAACTAAAAAAAAGATAAATTCTACATTGTAGCAACATGAGAAATGAAGGTAGATACAGGTAAGTGAACACATGAGATATTAGACTGGTAAATGGAAATACAACAATAGTGTAGAGTTTGAATAGAGAAAAATGGAGAAGATTAATAATGGCATTGCAGGTCCTCTATAATTGGTCATAAGTATTATGTATCAAATTTATAAATCAAACATCATGTTAATCTAGTTGAGCCTAAAAGTACTGATAAATTAAAGTTTGTGTCATAAAATTAAATGTTTATTAATTTATTACATTTATATTACAATATCTTAATAATTTTACGTACACTATACAAGAATAATACAAAATTCTTGGTGTAGATAGAGCATAATATGCAAAATGTTAATTAAAATCATTTTATTATAAAATATATTTCTTACCATATCTTGTAACAATATATTAGTTATTTAGTTATCATATTATGTACTGACATTATACAATTAGTCTCATATATTAAACCTCGTCATGGCACTTTTTTTTTACAACTAAAGATTATTTAATTATTATTATTATTATTTTTATTCATTATATAACTCAAAACAACTAGGTTAAAATAATAACCTTATAATACTAAATATTAACGCTACATGTAAATGATAGCAATAATGTATCTAAATTGAGCTACAGTAGTTATACATATCGATATGTTTAAGAAATAAAATGATTTTATTGCAGTTGTATTCAAGTGGACTCAAGAGTCTAACTGAAATTCCAAAGCTACCTACATCTTTTTTTCCACATAACTTCAATAGTAAACAAGGAGCCAGTAAGTACTTGACTTTTAGAGATTTTCCACTGATTTGGCACAATAATAGTTAATTAAAGTTTTAGTCATAACTATTTGTGATTTATAAAGTTTAATACTTATTAAAAATTGAAACAACAATTATATTATTTGAAACGATTAAAGCATAATATAATGGGAGAAGTGTAATGAGCTATAGATATCTAGCTCTAACTAAATACATGATCAAGACAAAAATTAATTGATATCATATTAAGTCAAAGCTAGAAAATGATAAGCCATGTATTTAAATTTAAAAATATTGTATAAAGTAGGTATAGTAAGAAATGAGGTCTACGAAAAAAAATTCAAATCTTGGTTGAATTTAAAGAATGTGTTGTAGGCATACAATGACTTAACAATAAACTCAAGTACTAAATACAAAACAAAATACCAATATTAATTAGGATTAAAAAAATTATGGAACAGAGGATTCGAATAAGTATACTTGTTTATGGATAGATTTTAAACTTATTATACATTTTATCCATTTTCCATTTACTTTGTAAATAATTTTTTTAGACATTTTTTTTTTTTTTTATACTAATATAATGTACAAAACTATATTAAATATAAATAATTTCAAATTATAAATATCAATATATTAGGAGGAACAAATAAAAGATTACAGTGCATTTTGTAGATTTTCTTTTTTTGTCATTTCTAAACATTTGCGACTAGAACCGACATATTGCAAAATAGTTCCACATCTATTATCATACAGAGGATCGATTTTTTTCACCTCGCTTTTCCGCTCAAAAAACATAGCTGTCCCAGTTATATACCTCCATTGGTTAAAATGAAAAATCTGTAACAGAAGTTAACAATATTAAATATACCTAATAAATAAATAACTATACTAAATGTAAAAGTCTATAATTTTTTTTTTTCACATCTTTAGTAAATTCAAAAGTTTAATCATGTTTAAAATATAGTGTTGTCAATGTCATTGAAAATACCTAGAAAAAATTTCTATGTAGTAATATACTTACCACCCAACCAACCAACCAGAGGTTCATTAATTCCTGTTTTACAACTAATTATTAATATATTTTTAAGTCACTCTCACAATTTTTTATCAATTTTAAGCCAAAAGTGTCCTACCTATCTGCATACATTACTTATGACATTTTTCACAGTTGCACCATAGGATCAGCGCCACTGTTAAAATAAACTAATTGATGTCTACAGATCTAACCTACTCATTATTAATCAAGTATTAATATATTGTTGAATTGATAACAAAATGCTCATTAGTTTTAAGTAATTAACATCATCATTAATTAAAATCCAGAAAAAAAAAGAATATGAATAAACATGTTCTGTTGACAAAACAATAACTATTTATCATGTAATATTTCCAAGTAATAAATTTCTTACTCTTTTACTCAGATGCTATGCAATATATATTTATAATCTATCTCTTCACTGCCTTAACTAGATTTAAAAATTTTTGTTTTTAAAAATGAACACCTAGTTGAGAAAACAATTTATAACATGGTAACACACATTGATAACTGTCAAAAAATTAACAGATTAATCTAGCCTGCACACAATATGAACCACCCCACTGGTACATCTATGAACTTATTTATTTCTCATAACTATGCAAAAAAAAATTTTGTTTTTTGTATTTAATATAATTTATTTTAAAAAAAATTGTTATTTTTTGAAACCCAAAACAAATTTAAACAACTGACCGTCTAAAACAAACTGAGTTAAATTGCAAGTACATTGAACATGTCAAATCAATACTATATCCCAAATTGATTTTGACTGTTGTTCACCTCAAGTTAACCAATATCTGTATTGTTATCGATTTGACATGAAACACACCTACCACTCAATTAAAAAAAAAAAAAAATTAAGTAAATATCTAGGTAGGAACCTTGTTTTCGATTTGTAATACTGGAGAATCAGAATCTACTGCTAACACTCGGACATTGCTGTTTGCATTCAAAATGGACAAATCATCAGCATTATCCACAACGACATGAATTAAGTTTTCTTCGACAATTTCTTCGTAGTCTTGATCGTCTGTCGAATCGTTTTTGCAATCCATAATACCAAAAGATCGTCGTACGTTTTGAGCAACTAATAATCCTGTAATCCTGGAAATATAAGTGTATAACATAAATATTAATAATTGTTATACCAGAGCTAAAGATTGGAGTTTGGAATTTAAGTTTACGAAGTAAACTAACCAATTACCTACCTGTAAATCGTAATTCGTTCAATTCGATTGACATTACAAAATACAAATTTCAATTTGAACGATGGTAACACAGTGTATAATAATATTAGGAGTTGCCGAGGTCACGGTCTAAACGTCCCAATGTCTCGTTATACTTCCGATTCCGAATTCGGCTGAATCCGGACTTCCGTTTCCTTCGACAGGCAAACGAGCAATTAAATATGAAATGATCATTGTCATAATTATTATTTAGAAGTGATAACGTCTACGACCATGTGTAACGCTGATAGTAGTGATAGCGTTTTTATCGGCCGCACGGAGACGACGAACGGACGAGCCGGTGAACGCAACGAAACACAACAGAGAGATAATATTAATATATTAATAACAATTACGGCGCGAAATCCAAATTCACATCAATTGCGAACGAATACGAATAAGAGCTTAAAGATTTCCGGATCGTTTCCTTTTCAGCCGACGGATTGTATCGGACAAGTCTGGAGAGGATAGATTTTTACATGGGATGATGATGTTGACTGACATCCGAATGAATAGTTTATCTAGATGTATCCTAAGATATTTTACGAATTAAACGTATGAAAATGCAAAAATAAAAACAGTTTTTGGAAATTTAATGATAACCCGCACGCGTTTTATAAATACACGTAAATGAGTTTGAAAATATTTTAATAAATGAGTTTCATCGAGATTTTACAGACGACTATAGTTAAATTAAAATTAAGAATCACTTGCTAGTTACTACTAATATTGTAGGTATTTGATTGTCTACGTGTCCTATTTAACAAAAAGCATTAAATTATTTTTAATAATATTTAGCGTTTGTGCAACAATAGAGATTTTAAACATAAATTTTAACATTAGAAAATGTATGGAAAATTAGAAAATTAACTAGGTATATTAAATAATTTGTGAATAAATGTGTTATGCTGGTTATTAAGAAGGAAAAATGAAATAAAAATCTGTATTTCATAAATTTTAAATATTATGTTTATTAACAAAACTGTAAATACTTCATTGTATGTCGGGTGTAATTTATTTTATCTGTGCTATAGAATTTTTGATTATATTAATAAAAAAAGACTGTACCAATTATATCATAGAAATTGAAATTAACTTAACCTTTTCTATAAATCACAATTTCTATGTTCTATATTTTTATCTAAATTATACGAGTATTGAGTTAAAAAGTTCACTGAATTTAATTGGCTAGAGCATAATTGATCTTGGATCGAAAAATGACCTGCATCGTCTATTATGTTTCGATATTTATTTTGAATACAAATTTAAATTTGTCACTAAATGATCTATGTAGATAATAGTATTATAATATATATTGGTATTTTTGTAGTATTGTTTCTTATAATAAATCATTAAGAATGTTTACCAATCTCTTTTTTTCTAAATTTTCCAATCATTCTGTGTTTAAAGATTAATAATTTTCTTTTAAATTTAAGAATGTTATTTTTTATTAGCTCATTAAAAACAAAAAAGGTATATTTTTTTACTGAAGAATGTTTGTTACAAATGTATTTAAAATACGAATTGTAAAAAGCATTGGGTATGTTTTTTTATTTGAATAGGTCAAAAATATATTGAAATATTTCAAATATTTTAAAAACTGTAAATAAGTTATTATTTGAACTCATTTTCAAAGTATTCTTTACAACAAAACATTGTACATAATAAACATTAATCATAATAAATGTAAAAATATATCTTATTATTTATCAGCTAATAGACACCTCTAATTAAATGCTTAAATGTTAATGATATTTTTTATGAAGTTTTTCAAATTAGTAATTATTAGTACAGTAAAACCTCTCAAGGGAGAATACTCTTAAATTATTGTCAAAAATATATGTACATAATACACTAAACATCAGTTATAAAATTATAAATAACCTTTCATCATCTGACCATAAAATAATATACTATCCAAATGTTTAAGTATATAGTAAAAATATATATTTATTTTTTTATACATTTTGAAGAATAAAAGACATTCACAGTAAATAGTTAATAAATACACAGTACAAAAATATTTATAATAAATAAATTTAAACAATAACTAACATTTTATGTATTTTTTGTATGTACACATTTTTTATAACTTTTCCCTATAGCACCTTCTGATAGTGAAAATTTAGTAATTCTTTACTAATGTTCGCTATGTAGGGTTTTCTTGATAGTGAACATTTTTTAATTAGCTTTGACAATTTACTATGTAGAGGTTTCACTGTGTTTAGTATAGATAAATTAATTTAGATGTAATATAGAATCGTATTAACTTATTAAAAAGTGACTATACTCATTTCATTTTGTACAGCTATTAATAAGAGGTAACTTTTAACATCATAAAGTTAATTTTTGTCTAATAATCGACATTACAAGAGTGTCACTATCTATTATTTTGGCAAAGTCATTGTCCCATGCTGACTTCCATCGATTGCGATCTTTATCACATGTCACAATCAATTCCTTTGTGTTTTGCGAATCTGTCCAATTCAAGACATAATTGCCGCCAGCACAAGTTATAATCACTGAAAACCAAAATCAATATGATAAAAATAATAATAGGATTTAATAATTTTAACAGTACACTAAATATATTATGAGTAAAAAACAAATTTTATATATGATTCTTGCAGCTATTTTTCTATATCATATACATCAGAGATGTCAAACCTTTTAATAACAGTATGTCAAATCAAAATTTTTAGTTTGATTTAATTTACCACAAGTGTCAGAAACTTTTCAAACATTGTTTTGCTTCAATAATAATTAACTAAACATATAAACAGGCTTTTATTTTTTTGTTTTATTTAAACTTAACAGTTTTTACTATTTATAACTACATATTGTTTATAAATATAAACACATAACTTTAAACACTAAAATAAAAAAATTTGAAAATTAAAAGTATAGATTACGACATAATTTTAATAATATCTTATGATATATTATAATGATAAGTTTAAAAATATTTCAAATTATTAGTAATTTTTTTGAAAATTGAAGAAAAAATTATGAATTATACTTAAATTAGCATGTCACTAAAATAATGTGCACGTATCACAGGTTCGCCATCCCTGATATACATGCAGTTGATAACTTTTTATAAATCATAACTTAATCAAAAAAGTAAAAAAAAAATTATATTACATATTTTTAAGTTTCAGTGAATATTTTTAAATAAAATGCATTTTTCTGAATATTATAGGTATATGTTATTCAATTGCTTACAATTTAAAAATATATGTTTAATAATAAACATATTTTTTGATTATCTTGAAATTATATTATTTAATATCACATTTAATTATAATAATCTATAAGTTAATTCTGAATAAATCTAATGTTAAACCTAATATTGCCTTCAATAAATTTTATATTCACAATAATCTATTTTACTATTATTTTCTTAAATAAAAATAAATCGTTATGATTAAATTTAAAGATAAGATATTTAAGATATCTTAGATTGGTATATTAATTTTAAAGTAAGTAATAAATAATGATCATTATAAAATTTTTGAAAAATGCAGTCTTAAAATACGCATAACTTGCTTTATAATTAAAATATCAATAAAAATCTCAGAGATTCTTAGGAAGATAATCTTACTTTTAAATGTTATAGCAAAATCAATTCAATTCAATTTTTAGCTAAGATAGTATTGTATAGAATCAAAAAAAAAAAAAAAAAATACAGAAGTCAATAACATTCTAACTCTAATTATTAGTATATGGAAATATAATCTTTAGTTATATGACTTTAAAAGTAACAACTATTATTATCATAATAAGCAAAACACTACCTTTCATTTCTTGGGGACCAGGTTTCACTGATGGAGTAACCAGCACATTATATCCATCTAAGAGTTTTTTTGTCTTGGCTTTGGCTAACGACTCCTTTAGCTGAAACTTATATTTTCTTTCTGCATCTTTATCCACAATTAAAAAATCATCAACATCTAATAACATATTTAATATTATTATGTTGCACACAATTAAAAATAAAGAACATGTAAGACAAAAACCTTGAAACATTTTTACGGTGTAAGAATGTTTGAGCCAATTGACATTGACAATTGGACATCCTCTAGCTATTGCTGACAGTATTTTCATTGTGCACCGTATCTTGTCTGTTACCAATACTGTACACTGTGTTATTTCATCTGTAACTGTACCACCTAATAACAACATACATTTTAGGTTTAAAAATATAATTTATGTTTATTTATACTACTCGGCTATTGACACATAGCATTATAATACCTGTTTTGTCAACAAATTGTTTCATTTCTTGCAGGTGGCGGCTCTTGAGATAACTAAAACTAACAACAATTTCTGATGAATTTTCAACCTAAAATTATAAAAAAATATAGCTTATTACAACTATTTAATATAAAAATATATTCTACATAATGATTTAAATATTGATTATAAATAGTAGTATAACTAAAACTATTTAGTATACTTAAGGATATAAAAATTAAGTTAATTAAAACTGACAATACAATATCAACTCACATTAATAATACATTTTTTTTAACATTTATTTGAATATATACAAACTATAATGATAGTGACAATGTGCATCTGAGCAGAAATATAAAAAGTTGGCTGCGAATGCAAAAATAAAATAATTTTTTTTTTTTAATAAACAAGTTTCCAGAAGACACAACAATGTTTCACATTTATACCTATTACAAGAGAAATAATGAAAACAAGTTTAAGAAAAATTGTGATAAACAATTAGAAAACATTAATAATGTTGAAAAATACTAAACAATAAAAATAGTATTTTTTGATAAATGTGATCTACTTAACATTAACTTGAAAGATTTACTTTGTTTACTAGAAAGTGAGAAACTGAGAATCAAAACCACCAAAATTCTATAATGTATTTAATATATTAAAAAATAGTTATAACATTTCTCCCATGAAAGATTGAAATGACAAATTTTGATAATGATACTGTATCATTAATTAAGTATATTATACTTACCAATGGTTCTAATATTTTATTCCTAGTGCATATTTTTTTGTTGCTTTCTTCAACACCATCCTGCTTTCGTTTTTTATTAAGTACTGATGTATTTTCTTTTCTAGTTAATGCTCTTGTCTGGTAGCGTTCTCTATTCTCCATTTTGCTAATATTTTGTCTATCACTTTTTCCTTTGATCTGGCATTGTACTTTTTTTTTATTCCAAAATGATTTCCATACAGAAAC